CCCTCCCGGAGCTCGGGATCGGGGCAGAGGATCCCTCTCTCCCTCCCGGAGCTCAGGGTAGGACAGGGGATCCTTCCCTCCCTCCCGGAGCTCAGGGTCGGGCAGGGGATCCCTCTCTCCCTCCCTCCCTCCCGGTGCAGCTCCGGGTGCGTGTCCTGAGCCAGCACAGACCTCCCCCCGGATGAGGCCACCCAGAAGTATCCGGCTCTGTCTTTTGGAGAGAGAGACAAGGAGAGAAAAGCCCTTTCAGAGCAGCCAGAGCCTCACCCCAGTCCTAGCGCGGATGGGGGGGGGAAAAACTAAAAACAATCAATGGTTTCATTTTACAAATATTTCCTGCCCCTTTCTTGTAATTGCCTTGTTTGTGAGCCCGGGCAGGAACAGGGCGTTTGGGGTAAGTTGTTTTCCTCTCCTGACGTGGCTTCTCCAGCCCCCAGCAGAGGCACAGGGGTGACCTGCCACATCCAGGATGCCCCTCACAGCTCCAGGACAGCGGCAGAGACACCGTGCCCGGCCTCAGCCTCCCCTGGATGTTCCCAAAGCACTTTAGCAGCAGGAGGACCCCAAGGGCTGTTCTGGTGGGCAGTGGGGAGGGTGCAGTTCCCTCGAGGGGTGTTTGGAGGCAGCCAGGCTGGGCATTCCCAGGGATCTGCCCTGGGAGCTCCCCAGGGTGAGTGGAGCTGGCCCTTGGCTCCTTGGGGAGAAATCCTGGACAGGTTGGACGGGGCTTGGAGCAACCTGGGATAGCGGGAGGTGTCCCTGCTCACGGCAGGAGGTGGAAGGAGACCTCAAAGCTCCCTTCCAACCCAACCCATTCCATGAGATTTTTTAAATGGGCACTTTAATGTCCCTGAGGAACAGGCAGCAGTGCTGAAGATATGTCCTTGGAGGCCATGGATTGGCTGAACTCTCCCAAAGGCCGGATCCAGGATCCAGAGATCCCTCTCTGAGCAGTCCTGCTGCCACATCTGTTAAATACCATCAGCCAGATCTCTTGGATCCAGACCAGGTTTCGGGGAAAGGGACCATTTTTGAGATTGTTTTCTGTTCCAAAATCAAAATCTGATATTTAAAAAAGGAAAGAGGAATCCTGCCCTGCCCCCCTGGTGCAAGAGCCTCGGATGCTGCCTCCCCTCGGAAAGAGCATCTGGCTGTTTGGAGAAATGAGAGGCACCACTGTTTTCTTTTGACTAATTTGATGATGTTGCAGTGCTCAGAGTGATGAAGCAGAAGGGAAGTTGCTGAGACAGCCCTTTCTTAAATTTCTCCAAAGCTTTTCCAAAAAGAAATTTAAAAAAAAAAAAAAAAAAA